GTGGGGAGAAGGGGCGGACACTGCCCAGCGCTGCCAGCTCCCAGCAGGTCTCCGGGCTGCGCCTGGGCCAGCGCTACACCTTCACCCTCCGCCCGCTCCTGGGGAGTGCACCAGGCACCGAGACATCTGTCAGCGAGCGCACAGGTACGGCGTGGTCACTGCAGGGATGGGCTGGGTTTGTCTCCCCTCTGATGGTGGCTTCACTGCTTCCCTGCCCACAGTCTGCGGGGATGCCCACGGTGATGTTGTCTTTCTGGTGCATGGCACCCGTGACAGCTCCTCGGGTGCCGACGCTGTCCGCACCCTTCTCTCCAACACCGTGTCTGCCCTGGGGCGCCTGGGCCCTGAGGGCACCCAGGTAGGGTGCTGCTGCAGTGGTGGGGGCTCAGAGGGCATGGGCAGGCCAYGGTGCCCACTGCTCCTCTGCACCCTTGCAGGTGGCTCTGGCCACATACAGCTACCGCAGCCTGCCCTGGCTGCTCCTCAACCGCTCCAGTGACCTGCCCGCCGTGCTGGAACAGATCCGCACCATGCGCTATGAGGAGCCCAGTGGCAATGCCATCGGTGAGGGGCTGCACTGGGAGCTGGGGCAGTGGCTGCCGGGATCCTGCTGACTGTCCCCTCCTCCTTCTCCCTCTCTAGGGGCAGCTATCACCTTTGCCAGGACCTACCTGCTGAGCCCTGGTGCAGGGCGCCGGCCCAGGGTGCCAGCAGTGCTGGTGGTCTTGGCTGATGGCCCCTCTGGGGACGATGCCATCGCTGCAGCCAGGGATGTCAAGGCTGGGGGTGAGAATGGATGGGATCCCAGCAGGGTGTGCAGGGAGTTCTGTGGGGTGCTGAGGGTGCTCTTGGCTCAGGGGTGCAGGTGCTGGCAGTGGGCTTGGAGGGGGCAGACCGGGAGCAGCTCCGGCGCATGGTCACCAGCGAGGACCCGCGGTACATCTACCATGGTGACAACCTGGCAGAGCTGGAGGGAGAGCTCACCGATGACCTCTGCACCATCATCTCCACCAGGGTAAGGTCAGAGTGCCTCAGGGGGTGTGGACTGGGGGCACCCCTATATAAGCCAGGGGGTTCTCCCACCCCTGGGTTCACACAGGCTTGTCTTGTCTTGCCAGCCAGAGCCAAAGCCGAAGCCCTGCACTATGCAGTGCCCCAAGGTGAGCATCCCCACTGTCTGCCATGCACAGAGGAAGCTGCCCAGCGAGGAGTTGAACAGCTGGGGTGCCAGCCCATAACCACTTCCCTCTGTCCCCTTGCAGGGCGAGAAGGGAGACCGTGGCGAGGCAGTGAGTGCTTTGGTGTCCCCACCCAACTGATGGCTCTGGGGGGCATCTGCATCCCCTAAACCACACTGATGCCAGCCCACAGGGGATGCTCACCACTGGCTTTGTTTCTGCAGGGACAACAAGGACGGGTGGGACCACCAGGCCCCCCTGGCCAGCCGGTAATATCCTGCTGAAGGGGGGGAGATGGGAGACAGATCCCTGGCAGGGGCAGTGACATAGTTCCCATGTCCTTGTTGTTCCCTTGTCCCTTTGTCGTACCAGCAGGTGGGAGTGGGGCAAGAACCTGTCCAACCCTTGCCACAGGGGCAGACAGGGAGCACCTCTTGACCACCACCTGCCACCTAGCCCATCCTCTCCACTCTCCCTCCAGGGTCGCCATGGGCTGCCTGGCCCTTCAGGACCCCCAGGGCCACGGGGTCCACCAGGAGAGAGCATCGAGCGTCCAGGCAAGAAGGGGGACAGGGTGAGTACAGCTGACTCCCTCACCCAGGCACCTCAGGGTTCCTGGGCACAGTGACCTGGCCCCCAGGGTCTCTCTGTGCCCCTCATCCCTCTGTTCTCCTCCTCACCCAGGCTGGAGGAGGGATCCCCTTGAAGAGCCCCAGTCCAGCCCCACACTGGTCCCTCACATCCCAGCTCAATACACAGGGGAAAGGCACCCCTGAACCCAGCTCTGCCATGGGGCTGCCCTGGGCTCCCAGTGCCAGAAGCAGCACTGCCTGGGGCACTGGGGGGGTCTGGCAGTGCTGGAGAACATCAGGTGCTGGTGTGATGCTTCTCTGTCCTGCAGGGATTCCCTGGAGCTGATGGAACACCAGGAAGCCCTGGACGCCCAGGGAATCCTGGATCACCTGGGCAGCCGGTGAGTGGGGATGTCCCTTGGGTTTGCTGCTGCATGGTCGGCTCCTCCCATCACCCTGCCTGCTCCCTGAGCCGGCCTCTGCCCACCTTTTCCTTGTACTGTCTCAGTAGCTGGCAAAGTCACTGCTGTCTCCTGTGTGTGTACCCAGGCCAAGTGTACTGGGAAGGGACTATCTCTCCCTATTTTGGCTAGAACTCCCATGCCATGCCATGCCATGCCATGCCATGCCATCCCATCCCATCCCATCCCATGCCATCCCATCCCTGCTCCCCCAGCTGGCAGGGACATGCATTCACCTCCTGAGCTGTTGTTTTCCAGGGCATCCAGGGAGTCCCTGGTCCCCGAGGGGATCCTGTGAGTATGGCCTCAAACCCTCCCCAGACCCACTCACACCCAACACCCCTTCTCACTCTCATCTTTCCTTCCCAGGGACCACGGGGGCCAATGGGACTTTCTGGCCCAAAGGGAGAGAAAGGCGAACCGGTAGGTGATGAGCAGGGGCTGCCCCATGGGGGTCCCTGGGGAGCAGTGGGGACCCTGGTGGGCATATCTTGGTCCCTGGCATCTCCTGGTACCTGGTGGCTGGGTGACCCCAGGGTCTCCCCATCTCCCTGCTGGACTCCTGGTCTTGTGGCACTGTGGCCCCTGTCTTGCACTGAGGGCACAACAGGGCACATGGGAACACTGATTTTTCCTCCCTGTCCTTGTTCAGGGAGAGGCCAGGGTGATCACAGATGGAGAACAGGGGCTGCCAGGCCGGAGAGGGGAGCCAGGTGTGCCGGTAGGTCTGGGGGTATGGATGTGGAACCCCCAGCCCACGTCACAGGCCCAGCTAATGGAGCATCTCTGTCCTCCAGGGCAACCCCGGCCCCCCTGGGATCCCCGGCCCACGGGGGCCCCTTGGTGATCCAGGCCCCCCTGGTCCACTTGGACCCATGGGGCCACCAGGACCTCCAGGAGAGTTTGTAAAGGTACATCCTCCTGGTGCTGCGTGGGAATGGCTGGGGGGATGTGTGGGCAGATGGATGGGAGAACAGCCAGCAGCTTGGAGCTGCTCCCCTGTGGACTCCTCCTGGTCCTGCTTGTGGGCTGTGCCCCCACCAGCTGTATCTGCACACACTCACACCTGCGTGAGTTGTTGCTGGCACTGGGCAGTGTGGGGAGAGGCACATGGTGTACACGTGCCCTGATACCACTGATGATGGGCTCTGCCCAGTGTGTTCCCCTTCTATTTGAGTAGGGCATGGGAAGAGCGTGGACATGCCCTTATTTGCAATTTTGCCCTCACAGGGAGAAAAGGGTGACCGAGGGGAAAGGGTGAGTGTCTCTGCATTTCCCTAACTCCTCTGCTCTCCTGGATGGAGGTCCCTTGAATGTCCAAGGGCACTGCAGCCCTTTAGGGTGCTGGGAAGGACTGAGCCCCCAGTGCAACCACACAGGAGCTGACCCCTGTCTCTGCAGGGCCCCCCTGGACTTGTGGATGGGGCAGCACCTCGAGGGGAGCCTGGATCCCCGGTGAGTCTGGCCCCTAGGCCAGCAGGGACAGCAGAAGGGAGCAGGGCTGCAGTGGCCGTGTGTCCCCAGGGCCAAGCTGCATCCCCAGGGGCTGAGCTGTTCTGTCTTGCAGGGCCTGCCTGGGGACCCTGGGCCCCGGGGACCTGCCGGGCCCCCCGGCCTGAAGGGAGAGAAGGTAAGAGAGGATGCTCCCTTGCTGGGGCTGGACCTCACACCACTCTCCAGGGGGGATTCCCATTCCCACCTCATGGGCATCCCCCTGTCATGGGAGTGGCTGTCACCTTTCCTAATCCCCAGGGTGATAGCACAGAAGGTTTCCCAGGGTCACCTGGCCGCCCCGGGGACCCAGGAGATCGGGTGAGTTTCCTGAGAGAAGGTAAGGCGAGCAGGAGCTGCCATGCTGGTGAGCCAAGCCCTGAGGGCACCCGCTTTGGACAGCCTCAGACAGTCTCTACCCTCCTTTGCAGGGCCCTCGGGGACCACCAGGGGAGCAGGGCAGGAAGGTGAGTGGTGCAGGGACTGAAGGGACGCTCTCACCTTGCCTTTGGCAGGATGAGAAGGGCTCTGGATTCTGTGTCAGGACCCATGATGTCCCCCCATGGGTCCTGCTGCCCTTGACCCTGTTTTCCTCCTGCACCAGGGAGACCGTGGGGCGCCAGGAGAGCTGGGAGAGACGGGAGAGAAGGTGAGATGGCACTGGAGAGGGACTGTGCCATTCAACAGCATTGGCAGGTCCTGATGTCCCTGTGGCTCCGTGGCGGCTGTGTCTGGGGATTGCTGTCAGAACCCAGTGGTCTTGGATGGGATTCTGGGGCTCAGCTGGGCTCTGAAGGGCTCTGGGGCAGTGTGGGGTGGGAATAGTGTGGCATGGAGGGAGGAAGGCTCCCTGAAACCCTCCTTTGCTTTGCTCTGCAGGGGGACCGTGGTGTGCCGGGCCCTGAGGGTGAGAAGGTAAGTGTGCTGGGGTGATTCCAGCCATGCTGGAGTGACGCCTGCTCTGCACTGGAGCAGCCACCCTGGAATGGGGTGGCAGGATTCCCTTGACACCTTCCTCTTCCTCCTCTCCTGCAGGGTGAGACAGGAGCCCCGGGGCGCCCAGGGCCATCAGGCAGAGAGGTGAGTTGAGGCAGCGGTCATGGTGCTGTGGAGCAGGGGCTACCATGCCCTGGGGGCATGTCCCCAGGCACTTCCAGCCCCTGAGGTCTCTTCTCTTGCCACAGGGAGCTCCAGGGCCGACTGGCCCCCGTGGAGAGAAGGTGAGGG